GAGGCGGGCGAATTGTTTTAAGCTCAGGAGTTCGAAACCAGCCTGAGCAAGAGTGAGACCCCGTCTCTACTAAAAATTAGAAAGAAATTAATAGGACAACTAAAAAATATATATATAGAAAAAATTAGCCAGGCATGGTGGCACGTGCCTGTAGTCCCAGCTACTCGGAGGCTGAGGCAGGAAGGATCGCTTGATCCCAGGAGTTTGAGGTTGCTGTGAGCTAGGCTGACGCCACGGCACTCTAGCCCGGGCAACACAGTGAGACTCCGTCTCAAAACAAAAAAAAAAGAATGTCCACACGATAATTATTTTTATTTACTTATATTTTTATAAACAAGGTCTCACTCTTTCGCCCAGGCTGGAGTGCAGTGGCATGATCATAGCTCACTACCTCCTGAGCTCAGGAGATCCTCCTGTCTCAGCCTCTCAAGTAGCTGGGACTACAGGTGTATGAGACCATGTCCAGTTAATTTTTCTATTTTTTGTAGAGACAGGGTGTTGCTCTTGCTCGGGCTGGTCTCGAGCTCCTGGCCTCAAGGGATCCTTCTGCCTTGGCCTTCCAAAGTGCTGGGATTACAGGCATGAGCCACCACACTTGGCTCCTGCTTGATATCTCTGTGTGACCAACTAGCACTTTAGGCTCTCAGTTTCTGTGTCTGCTCAACTCTTACACCCTGGACCTTGTCATCACTCCAGAGCACTCTGTCTCTGAAACCTAACTCTAATATAACACGATTGAAATTTCCTGATTGGCACTCACCCCCTTTATGCTTGCTCTTCAACCTCAACCAGTTTCCAGTCGACTTTTATCTCTATTATGTCCTAATCTGTGAGTTCCCACCTATCTTTACTTCTTTCTTATCAACCTCAATCTCACGGCCCATTACTTGAGCCACCCTCTCACATCCTCAACTCCTATTTTCCCTTTTCCCTCAACTGTACCAGACCAGTAAAATCCTGTATCACCTTATCCATCTGCCTTCTCTGTTCTTATACCTCGATGGCCCAGGACTGCTGAAAATGGCTCACCAAAACAGATCGATGCCATTACAAACTTATGCTCTCCAGCCTCAGCTGGAGCTTCAGTACCACCTAGCAACACTTTCCCCAATCCTCTCACTAATAATCCAAACTTCCAAAACTTAAAAAGTCTCTCAAGCTCCCTTAGGGTACCATACCTTTTCTTACCTTCAGGTATTCAATTTGCTCCTGTATTTCTCACAAATTAGAGGTCTGAACAAATGCTCTAAATTCTTTGCCCTACCTACACACTTAACTTATCCACTATCCTTAATTCCTTCCCTCTAGACTCAGAAGAGTTGATTCTATTGCTATCACTGGAAGTGCTCTGGATCCCTGCCCCTTTCACCTCACCAGTCTTGCAGAACTAAACCCTGAATCAATCCAGGTATGTGCCCTCCCGGCACTCTCACCAAGCTCTTATCCTGAGCTTCCCCATCTTCAAAATGGTGAAATCTTTGTAAGATATTTCTGACTGTTGTGACTGTAACAAGCCTAGAGGTGTATGACATATGGTTATCATTGAATAAATGGTGGCTATTGTTATTATCATGTTAATAGTTTAAAGGTGAAAGGACGATGACAAGAACTGGAACACAGCATTGGGGAGCTGCAGGGAGAAAGGGGAAAGATGCCTGAAAAGAGAAAAGGTGAAAGTAATTTACACCTTGCCATAAAATGTCCAATCCTCTGAGAATATATTCAGATGCTTTGTGAATTGTGGTAAATACATGCCTACTCTTTGCTAGTCTCACTACTGTCTGGAACCTGCAACTAACACTATATAGAGGAAAGATTTGCTCTGGGTTCTAAGTCTCTGTCACCAGAGAAAAATTAACAAATGTTCCTTCTATTAATCCAGAATTAAAGTTAACATTCATAAAAAAGGAATTATAGCGATGTTTAGCCATCGAAGGTGTTAAACAAAAATATTCAATTAGGGAGTCCATGACTGGGGCAGGGGCACTTCCAGGTGAGCACCTGGGACATCTTATTGTGCCAGAAAGCACAGAAGAGGTCAAAAACTGATTGGGGTTGGGGAGGGGGGTGCCAAAAAGAGACAGAAGCCAGCTTGAAGGAGCTCCCACTGGCCAAATTTGGGACAATTTCAGCATCAAAAAGAATAATGATGGTAATAGAGTCTAACACAGTGAATAAAAAGGAGGGACTATAATAAATGTGTCCATATTGATAATCAATAAAAAAAGAGGGAGAAAAGGAAAAAAGCAAAAATTTTTATAGAATAACAATGCTGGTTAATAAATGTAGAAGGAATGAAATAATTAGAAAATCACCACTTTGCAGCCTTCAAAGGCAGGGATTATCTCCATGATACTAAACACACTGGATAAAAAGTTAATGGATGCACCCCATAAATATGTACTATCATGTACCAATAAAAATTAACTTAAAAAGTTAATGGATGGGCCGGGCGCGGTGGCTCACGCCTGTAATCTTAGCACTCTGGGAGGCCGAGGAGGGTGGATCGCTCAAGGTCAGGAGTTCGAGACCAGCCTGAGCAAGAGTGAGACTCCGTCTCTACTAAAAAATAGAAAGAAATGATCTGGACAACTAAAAATATATATATAGAAAAAATTAGCCGGGCATGGTGGCGCATGCCTGTAGTCCCAGCTACTCGGGAGGCTGAGGCAGGAGGATTGCTTGAGCCCAGGAGTCTGAGGTTGCTGTGAGCTAGGCTGACGCCACAGCACTCTAGCCCGGGCAACAGAGTGAGACTCTGTCTCAAAAAAAAGAAAAAAAAAGTTAATGGATGAAAGGATATCTGCATGGTCTTAAAGTTATTCCCCAGATTACTAATTAATTACAAAGGAGAAAAGGTACCTTTACGACAGAGAGATCTGGTTGTCACCTTCTTAATCAAGTGATCAAATAGCATCAGCAATAGTGCAAAGAATCTGATATTATATGCCTGCTCTGGTGCAATAAGAAGCCCATGGCATCACCTATGCAGTATATGCAAAAACATTTAAACCAAACTAATAAAGAGAAAGCAATCAGACAATTAGCTGGTCCATAGTCTTGCTACTCAAAATGTGACCCAAAGACCAAACTCACATCACCTGGGAGCTTGTTCAAAATATAGAGTATCAGGGCCCACTTCAAACAACTATATCAGAATTTGCTTTTTAACGAGATCCTCAAGTGATTTACAAGTACAAAATTTGAGAAGCCCTGTGTAAGACCAATCACCCAGACTTTTTAAAAGTCAGTGTCATAGAAACAAAAATGAAAGGCTAGGGGGACTGGTTTGGATTTAGAGAGACATAACAACCAAAAGCAATAAGTAAACCTTGATTGAATCTTGAATTGGGGAAAAACATAGTTATAAAATACATTTTGGAGGGACACTGGGGAAAATTTTACATACTTTTTATTAGATAATATTGAAGTAATGTTAGTTTTCTTAAATGTGATAATGGTATTCAGTAACAGAATTTTCTTAGTCTTAGAAGATATATACTGAAATATTTAAGGTAATGTGTCACCATGTCTATAACTTACCTTTAAATGGTTCATAAAAACAGACACATACATATAGAAAGCAAATGTGGCATAATATGAATAGTTACTCTAGATGAAGAATATGTAGTACATTCTGCTATTTTTAAAATTTTTTCTGCAGGTTGAAATTTTTGTCAAAGAAAAAGTTGGAGGGTAGGAAGAACATTCAGTTAGCCCATAATAGAAATGGTAAGTTTTTCACAGCAAACAGCATGATTTACATAACCATATGTTTATCAGAACACCTAGTTTAGAAGATACACATAAGTGCTCATTGGATGTTTGTTGAGAGAAAAGTGAATTTGTTCAAATCGTATTTTAGCTAGCAGAAATTACTAAGGCATTAAGAGCTATTACAACCAGTTGGTTGTCAGGCATATATGAACCTATGGATTGCCACTGTAAGAGAGGCAGTAGGGTATAATGACAAAGGTTTTGGGGTTGGTTAGACCTAGATTTTATTAGTGAGGTGTCCTTGGGCAAATTTAATCTCCCAAAGTCTCAATCATTCTATCTGTAAAATAGAAATAAAATAGTACCTTATAAGGTGGTTGCAAGGATAAAATGAGATACAAAATAATAAATGTAAAGTACTTAGCATTACTTGATAAATGTTAACCATCATTTTATCATAAAGTTAGCTAAAAGGAATTCTATAAAATGGAGATATTATTTTTATAGACCAGATTTGGACTTTATTCTGAAATTAAAGGTCTTTATATGATCTTACGACATTTTCCGAAAATTATAAGTCAAGGTGAGAAGGCATAACAATTTTCACTTCTCATTTTTATTTGGTATCTTGAAGGAAAAAGATTCAGTGAGATGATGGGCAGCATTTCCCCAAGGAAAACCAACAAAAAAACAGCTTACCTCTTCAACTACACCTTAGTAAGCCAGCATAAAGTACTGAAGATTAACAAAACAAAGCTATTATAAATCAGTGAGAATCAAATTCAACATAGGAGAGTATGTAAATAATTCTGTCACTCTCCTTACTAGAAATGTTGTGAGAAACTGCAATGTCTTTGATGGAGTTTATTTGAATACAGTTTTCTGGAAGCACTTAGAGAAAAAACAAGGCATCTATCTCTTTAGTTTAAGTGTACTTATGATGTCCAGATGTAATAGGACTGACATCAATAGATGATAGCCTAATCCAATTATTCTAAGAAATTCTAAAGCAATCTCTCTGAAAGGTTGACAACTGTGGCCAGCAGGCCAAATGCAGCCTACTGCTTGTTTTAATGAATAAAGTTTACCTGGAACACATTCATGCCCACTTATTTATGTACTGTCTATGGCTGTTTTAACTACAACAGCAGAGCTGAAAAGTTACAACAACGCCACATGGCCCATAAAGCCTAAAATATTTACTACCTGGACTTTTACAGAAATTGCCCCCCCCCTGCTCTAGACAAGCAATTCAAGAAGGTAATAAAACCTGTTAGACTCACCCAAGGTGTTGTCTTTTTGTATTGGTCACCTCCATCGATCACATCCCTCATGATTTTTCCCTTGAGAAAGTCATACTCTTCTGGACTCAGGTTAATAGACTCTATGTTTTTGCCACACGCGGAACACTGACCACTGTAATTATAATTGTTTATGTTACATAATGTCCAGAAAAAATGTTTGTTACATAATGTCCTTTTCCTAAAATGAATAATCCCAGGACACAAGGAAATTAAAAGCTAATAAAAAAAGAACATTAAAATCTTTGTGATCATCACATGCATCTGATTTTTGTAAACCTGATATTATCACACATAAGTGTGCAAGAAATCCGAAAAGAGTAGACTGCTGGGTATCCAGATGAAATTTTTAAAGTAATTCCTAAAACACAACTGGGTCCCAAATGTCTAGGGGAAAACATCTCTAAGGCTTCACAAAGGCTCACAGTACTTACAGGAAAATCATTTTGATCCACTGCAAAGTCTCCAAATGCAAAATGTGCTTTTTTGCCCAGGTACTCTAATTATAAACTCTTAATTATCCTATCCCTAAGGTGTTCTTAAATACTTTTTTAATCAATAGCAACAAAACTTACTAAATCTAAATCAAACAAGTTAAAAATAAACTAAATATTGGTGTTTACCTTTTCTGGATTGTGGTGAATTGTCCCTTCCATTGTTGTCCAGGAACACTAAAGAGAAGATTGCAAAGCCAAATCATCAGAAGGTTAGATTCCTACTGAACCTAAAGATAAATCATTGTATTTACAAACTCCGTAGGCAAGAGCTCTGCAAAGTTCAATATACTTCCCTAGAATGGTTTATTTAGAAGAGTGGTTGCTACCCTGTGATGGGCTAAGGAGCTGATGGTACCCTACTCTGAATGTCCTTCTTCCATTCAGTTCTTCTCTGGCCATCTGACCCTCATCTTCAAGTCTAAACCAACCTTCACTGGAGCTGTACAGAAAGCAGCTGATCCAGTGTAACCTCTAAATCAAACTCAACTCTAACCTTCTCCAGAAAGCTGCCAGAGATTGCTCCTGCTTGGAATAATTTCTCTCTTCTCTGATACTATCATCTTATACACCACTGTTATTTAACTGTCTGGTATTCCCAATTAAATTGAGAGTGTCATAATAGATCTTACATCACAAACCACAATGCCTACTCTAACTGGAGGCATTTAAAAACTATTTATTGATTTATTTGTTCATTAATTTATCCTTTCCTCCTTCCTCTAACATATATTGCCCTCAATCTTACTGATTCTTTTGCCTTCTCTCCTTTCCCACTTCTCAATTCAGGACCTCATCATCCCACACCCAAATTTAAAATTATATCCAAACAGATTTCCCTGTTTCCAATCTTAATCCCTCTCCAATCTATTCTTCTCACTGTTTTGGCAATTACCTTTCTAAAATTCCAAAACCACCACTCTTGATAAAAGAATAAAATCCAAAACCAGCATTCTTGATGAAAGAATAAAATCCAAACTCTTGGGATTCAAAGATTTTCACCTGGTTCCTCCTCTGTTGATGTTCAATAAGTTTGCTAAGACAATTAAGCGTAACTGCTACTCAAAGCTCTGTATACATGATATAGAATAAAAAGGCAAGAGAAAAACAGAGGGAAGAAATGAATTTTTAGGAAAGGGCCTGAAGCAAATTAATGAAGAAATAAGAGGAGCAGACTGAAGCAATAAACAGGTGCATAGCCAGTAACATATATAAAATCAAAGAGAACGCAAAGGTGAGAGCTTTGGAGAGAGAGCAACCAAATGATGGGAAAATCCAAAACAAACTAGTAGGATGAGGATTTTCCTTTTTAATGTTTGCATATCAGGCTTGGTCAGGATCCCTCTCTGCAATCTTACCATCCAAGTTGATGAAATAACAGAGATTAGACAGAATAAATATAAGCACATTATATCCTAGTCATTAGATTTCAGAGGAGCTTCTGAAAATTCTAATAATGGCCCAAGAACAGTTCTAGCCAAATACTATATCCTTTTCTTGCTATGCACTCAGGCCATAAGTACTATTCATAAGTACTCAACATCTTACTTAATGCCTAACAAAACAAAATAAATGATCCTTCTAAAAGGTAAAAAATACATAAAAACTACAAGTGCTCTAGAATTTCTTTTTTATGTGCTGGGTGGAGATTAGCACAAATTGTTTATGCTACCACATTTTTAAGGAGAGAAAATTTAAAGAGGAAACAAATCTTACTAAAAAAGTATAATCTGAATAAAATGATTCTCAGAAACAACAAAAAAAGAAAGACTACTTGTAGGTATACTTATTAAAATAAATACAAATAAAGAAAAATCAAAATTACCTTTCAAACCATGTTTTTATACTATGTGCAAATGACTCCCCAGGATATAGGTGATTATTTCTTAGATACAAAAGAATGTCTAGTAGTTTGTTTGAATAGTCATCCTCCTTTATGTCTTTTCCAAAATCAAAGAAGGCTTTTAAAGTTTCCAACATAGGAATGAGATCATGAGCTAGCAATTCCTGATACAAATTCCAAGCTATGTTTACATCTTGATGAAGAAGGGCTCCCTGGATACAGTCATTATAGTTCTTTCTTGAAGGGGTCATGACTTTTTTGATGTCCTCTAACAGCAGCAAGGCCTCTCTCCATCTGTCTGAATGGATTAATCCCCGGATGAGAAGAGTATATGCTCCAGGTTCTAAGTTCTTATACCTGGCTTTCATAATTTCATAGACATCAATAACTTCTGATGTCTGCTTATGAAAGACAGACAGATGCAAATACTTGACCAGTAAATCATAGCCTACAATACCATTGTTTTTTGCTGCTACCCATGCCAGCAGAGATTTAGCCACATCTACAGAGCTATGACAGTGAGCCATCTGTGAACTGATCCAACTTTCAAAATTGACCTTTCCTTTGAAATCTTCCTTAAGTTTATCCCACTCCTTTGAATTCAAAGGTTTTGTTGGGAGTTCAATAGTGTTCTTTACAGGTGGCAAAGCATGATCTTTACTCTGAGGATTCATCTGCGATCTCTTCTTAGCTGCTCCAGCTAAAAAAAAATGAGAAGAATCAGAGGAAACTTGCTTATTACTGCTGTCATCTTTCTTGAGATACCTGGCCTTGGCAATTAGCAGATCCGTTGCTTTGGTATTTTGTGGAGACATTGCTTTAAGAGAAAACCACCTCTGTTGGTTCCTGATGCCACAGAAGTCTGTGAGAAAGAGACAGAGGTAAGAGTGCCCTGGGCCTTGCCATACCTGGTTGCTCTTCCAAAGCTTAGGAAAGCTTCCAATACCAGACAAATAGAAAGTCATTATGCAGTGAGATCAGCACCGGATCATGAGAGAGTTGTTTGGAAAAATCCCTACTTGTACAGCAAAATTAAGAGATTGGAGGTCGGGGGCGGAGAATCGAAGTGCAACTTTTAAAAAGGAGATTTCGTTTCTTCCTTACAGACAAATTGGGTGCTGCTTTTGAGACTACTTAATAGCAACGAAGGCAGATGAGTTCTGTCTCTAAAACAACGATCCCGGGATATCCAACGTCGCAAACTCCAAACCAGGGGACAGAGCAGTAATCCTCTGGTGTCTGTTATATTCCAGTCCATGAATCTGAGGAAAAGGCACAAGGAGGAACACTCAGTTCTACTCACGTGGATCACAACTATCCTGAAATGGGGCAGGATCCCATGGAGGCTTGCTGGAAAAGGGGCGAAAAGCAAAAACAGCGATCAGGAGCCGCCAACCCCTACCCACCAGAAACCACAGCCGCAAAAGCCAAATTTAGGGGCCCTCGCCCTGCATAACCCTCCCCAAGCGGCAAAAGTCGACAGATGAGGAATGGGGCTGGGGGAGGTAGGGAGTCAGCTGAGCCAACAACTCAGGTAAGGAAGAGAAGTCCGAGAAGGGCGCAGCCTTAAATGTGTACCGATTGCTGAAACGAAGTTCATTCAATAATTCACCACCGCACTCAAGCAACACTCAGGCGACCAGGAACGCGGCGGAAACTACAGTTTCCACAATGCACCGCGCCGGCCCCAGCCGCTGGGGCGATACTGACCTGGACCCAGGCGTTCCACCGGGCCTAGCGGCGAGGAAAAAAGGCAATTTTGAAGCATTTAGTGGCAGAAGGGTAAGAGACGGCTACTGAAGCATCTGCTATATTCAGTGGATCTTGAGGTCCACCAGCTTTGCGCAATGAACAATGAAAAGAAATTGTGAAGAAAGCGCTTCTCTCAGGCCGGAAACTTCAATGGGCTGCTGAGTCACGTGGTGCCCACGCGCAAGAGGCCCACGACGAAGAAATAAAAATGCGGACTTCCTTATCCTGGCATTTAAAATCGAGCTTAGTGAGCCTGGGACGCCATTTTCCGTATCTTTCTCTTCTGCTTTTCCCGCCAGCGTGGTCACCACATTCTCCGCGATAGCTCCGGTTTTGCCTCTTTAGCCGTGACTTCCGCCCATGTCCAAAATGGCGATTGGGCGGCCTTCCTAACCTTTACGGGGCTTATCGGCGTCTGACGTCTGAACTGATAGGGGTGGAGCGGTTAGTAAACAGCAAATGCAGGCGCTGCTGCGCGGGAGTCGGCCATGGACTGGAAAGAAGTTCTTCGCCGGCGCTTAGCTACGCCCAACACCGGTCCAAACAGTGAGTTTGGGAGGGGCTGCTCGTTGGGATAGCCCGGCCCTAAACTCCTAGAGGTTGGGGGAGAGTGGGGAGGAGGAGCAATTGGGAGCCACACTTTCGGCTTCTGTAAAAGACGGCTGTGACAAAGGAGGCGGAGTGGAACGTGGTTTAGGGATACAGAGAGGTTCGACCCAAACTTCCCCAAGAAAGAATCTACAGGAACGGAAAGCTTAGCGTTAGTCACTGACTTCTGTGGTCTTGATCTAGACTTGTGAGGAATACTGAGAACCCCGGCTCCAACAAGTCTTCGACTCCATCAGGACCTCATTGAACCTATCGCCTTTTTACTGTCACTTTTCGCTTCCTTCCTAAGCCATTTTAGATTTCATAACTCATTTTTCCTTGTTTCTTCCCTCCTCCTTCATACTTGCTTGTTAACCAACGTGGTTAAATCTATCTTTCCTATTTCACATCCGCACTCAGAGCTCCTGAAAGTGGCTGGAGAAAAACAGAACCATGGTGAGTTGTCTCACTTTTAATCCATGTCAAGTAACCTAAAGTAGGTGTTTTGGTCACGTCTGCCGTGTTTCTCTAGACATTCTGTCTTCTACACTCAATTCTCATCTCCCAAACTTACCATCTGGCCTACCCACTCCTTACCTTTAGCTGAACTTCTTTGCTTTTCAATATGTATCTCTCTGAGAACGTAGAAGCAGTCAAAGAAGAACCTCGCCTGTCCTCATTTACCATTTCTATCAGTCCCTCACCCCCATAGTTGTCCATACACTCTGCCTTGGCTGTTAAAATGAATTGTCCATGCTCCCATTTAAGAGTCCCTCCACTCCAGCACTAGATCGCATTCCCTTTCTTATATGCACTGACTTCACTCCAGCCTTGTCCTCTCATACATCATCAAATTTTACTACTCTGTTGGATCATTTTCATGAGCACTGACAAGCATGCTGTAATATCCCCCATCTTAAAAAAAAATCATATTGATCCCACATTCCCCTCCAGCTTCTGCTACCCTTCTCTGCACCTTTTATAGGAAAACTTTTCAAAGAAGTTACCTGTACTTGTGCATTCTCTGCTTTCTTCTCGTCTCAACTCTTGAACCCACTCCATTCTTTCACACATGTTTATTGCATGCCTGTTATGTGCCAAGTACTGTTCTAGGCTTTAGCAGTGAAAAAAACAGACAAAAATCCCTGTCCTTGTAAAACTTACTATTTAGTGTGGGAAGAATTACTAAATTATATAGGTCATACAGCTCCCGTTTTAGGCTGTTTTCCTTCATTGGTATACTAGATCCCATGTTTGTGCTAGATCCCATTTTTGCCTTCTCTTGCAGTTGTCCCCTGTCCTGCATCATCAATTTTTATTTCTTAATTATTTCCATCAGTATATAAACATGCTAGTATTTCTCCCATCTTAAACTTTCTTGACTTAATTTCCACCTCTAGTTAATGCCTCATTTTTCTGTTCCCCTTATAATCAGTCACACTTGTTAAAAAAGTTGTTGGTTAAATCTCTACTTGTCTCTAATTCCTGCTTTTCCAGAATCATCAGTGACTTCCATATTAACTGTTGGTCAGTTAACCAATGGTCAGTTGTCAGTCCTCATTTTACTTATAAAATTTTGCAGTTTTCTCCAACAGCACTGAGCCATAGTAAAGAAATTATAGGTTTAGTCCAAGGTTAAAAACTAACGTGGCAGAAATGCAGTCCTAAAAGGAGTTCAGGTAAACAACTACAGGCTTATTGGAAGTGAGAGCAGAAAGGAAAATAAACTTTTGAGAAAACAGATCACAGAATTGAAGATCTCTGAGGCTGAAGTGCAAGTATTATGGCAGTGAGGTTTTGAATAACAAAGGATAATCTGAGAGTGTATCAGAGCTTAAGATTTCAGAAGAGGAGCAAATAAGATCTGTGGCTGTGCCACAGAAGTGAGTAGCAGAGTGAAGTAAAGATGAAAACCTTCAGAGTTGCAGGGCTCATGGTAACCCACATAAATGTTTATTCATCGTAGATGATAGCAGGGCCTTGTGAAAAATGCTGTGCACCAGTCACTGTGGTCCACAAATTTTAATAAGTGAGGAGGAATAGCTGAATGAGACAGCTACATCCCAATAGCAGGGCAGGTTGGAAGGTAATGGATGCGTCAGTTGTGAGCTTCAGACAGAGGAGGGTTTTTTTTACGTTAGGTAAAGGAACAGTGATTATGAGGCTGAAACTCCATGAAGTCAGAGGCTGGGGCTGTTTTGCTCACCCCTCTGGTGCCAGTGTCTAATACAGTGCTCTGTACATAGAAGGTGCTCAGTAAATATTTTTGATTGAATGAATTAGGAACATTCCAGTGGTCTGTAGGAGAGGCAGTGACTTAAGAGACTAGCTTTAGTGATAAACAGAAGTAGACGGAGCATGCTCAGAAGTGGTTGAAGATGTGGGGAAGGCTGATTCAGTGGAAAGGAATGATTCAAGTTAATATGTTCAGGGTCTAAGGACAATTGTGAAGGCCTTTTTGGCATTGCAACTATTTTAATTAGACTATAGTATATAGGATGATCTGAGTAAAAGTGTTGCTTGGTTTTAAAAGTGCTTTTCTCCCCTTAATCTTTTTTGTTGCCAGAAAAAAAAAGTGAACAAGAATTAAAAGATGAAGAAATGGATTTATTTACCAAATACTATTCAGAATGGAAAGGAGGTAGAAAAAACACCAATGAATTCTATAAGACCATTCCCCGGTTTTATTATAGGGTAAGTGGTGTCAACGGGAAAAAAGACCAAACTCTGTAAAATAATTTTAAAGAGATTTACTCTGAGCCAAATTTGAGGACCATGACCCAGAGCCACACCGAAGAGGCCTTGAGCACTGGACTCGGTGTGGCTGGCTTACAGTTTGGTTTTACTTTTTTTTT